ATGAGCTTCATCTAATTGTTTTGGCAGCCTTGGATGATAATTGCCTAGAACTATTTCATTAGGGGGTTCTAAAATTTTGATTAAAAAAAATTTTTTTTTAAACGTTTATTTATTTTTGAGACAGAGAGAGACAGAGCATGAACGGCAGAGGGTCAAAGAGAGAGGGAGACACAGAATCCGAAACACGCTCCAGGCTCTGAGCTGTCAGCACAGACGCGGGGCTCCAACCCATGGACTGCGAGATCATGACCTGAGCCGAAGTCGGGCATCCAACCGACTGAGCCACCCAGGCGCCCCAAATTTTGAATTTTTTATCCCATCATTCTTTCTACTTTTATTAGCCAGAATTCTATCAGTAAGAACTTTCTGGAACCATTTGGTTACCCTGAACTAGAGTTTATATATGAAGGGCAAGATAAATCCTTGATTGTTTTTCTTGTATCAACAACATTCAGAGTAATGAGTTGATGTCATAATAACTTCTAGTAGTGATCATTGATTTTTTATCTGAAGTATCATTATAAACTCATGGATTTTTATAAATTTTTATATTTCAATCCATTATATTAATTATTCATTTGATGTCCAGATATCCTATTTGAGACCAGTGGGATCATCTTTAGATTGGGTAATTTGTCTTTTTGAAATGACCCTATTTTTCTTTGCTAGGAAGGAAATTTAATTTTTTGCACAGTTTTTTCCAAACTTACACATTTCTACCCCAAAGCAGGAAGAATCAGGCCTTGATTCTTTTTTTTTTAAGTGTTTCTTTTGAGAGAGAGTATGATCACATGAGTGGGAGAGGGGCAGAGAGAGAGGGAGAGAGAGTATCCCAGTCATTGGTTCATGAGATCAAGATCATGACCTGAGCTGAAATCAAGAGTCAGGCACTTAACTGACAGAGCCACCTAGTCACCCCAGGCCTTGTTTTTTTTTTTTTTTTAGTGGGGAATGACATTTAGGAAGTGGAATATAGCTAGGTTTTAGGGATGTCAGTTGCTATTGAGTTTGTCATTCATTCTAGATCTTTTCAATGGACAGGTATAGGAAATATGTGAGTTCATGTTAATTCCAATTAAAATCTCCAAGTATCTCATCTGATTCACTGTTTAAAGATGGAATGTTATATGAAGATTCTATTCATATCATTCAGTTATACTTTTTATTTCTTTATTATTTTTTATTTTTAAATATTTGAAAGTTTGTTTATTTTGAGAGAGTGCATGTATGTGCACATGTGAGAGCACAAGTGGGGGAGGGGCAGAGAGAAAGACAGACGCAATCTCAAGCAGGCGCTGCTCCATCAGTGCACAGCCCAATGTGGGGCTCGAACTCATGAACTGTGAGATCATGACCTCACCTGAGATCAAGAGTCCAACATTTAACCAACTGTGCCACCCAGGCACCCCTATTAATTTATTTTTAAGAGAGAGCGAGAGACAGAAAGAGTGCATAAGTAGGGGAGGGCCAGAGAGACAAAGAGAGACACAATCCAGTGCAGGCTCTAGGCTCTGAGCTGTTAATGCAGAGCTCATCGTGGGGCCCGAACCCACTAACTGTGAGATCATGACCTGAGCTGAAGTTGGATGCTTAACCGACTGAGCCTCCTAGGCACCCCCATTTATTTCTTTCTATAGCTTCTTTGGGGTTTTTTTTGGTTCTTAGGAAAGTAATGGTAATTGTACAGTATTTGAAAAAGTAGAGAGGTATATAGATTTAGGAAACAACTTGTAATCCATCCCCCAGGGTATCAGTTTAGCATTTTGACATATTTCTGTCTAGATTTTTCTGGCTTTCCTATATAGCATTTGAAATTATCTTTCTGAATGAAAAATACTGTTCCATTATATTGACATATCTGTCTTGCTCTTAGTTTATTACAGTTTTTAACTATAATATTTGGTTCAGCTATAAAAAATTATTTATATAAGAAGGTGTTTTTTCCTCAACCCTTAGTATTAAACTCAAGAAAATAATTGAAAACTAGTATCAATTCATAGGCATAAAATTACTACTCTTGTTTCATATTGCCAAATGTCGTAACAGTAAAATTACCACTTTACTACTCCCTGCTCTAGTAAATTTTGCCATTTTATGGTGTAATTTCACACAAACTTCTGGAGTCATAGTGTACAGATTCCAATTCTGGCTCTTTGCTGTGTGACCTTGAGCATAATAGTTAAACTCTTTCTACTGTAGTTCCTTATCTGGATTGCTTTGAGAATTAAATAAGTGACAAATGCCTGGCACATAGTAAGATCTCAGTAAATGTATGTAGGCTGTTGTTCAAAAATATTTGTCTGGGGCACCTGGGTAGTAGCTCAGTCAGTTGAGTGGCCAACTCTTGATTTTGGCTCAGGTCATAAGATTCCAGGGTCATGGGATCAAGTCCCACGTCGGGCTCTATGCTCAGCGTGGAACTTGCTCGGAATTCTCTCTCTCTCTCTCTCTCTCTCTCTCTCTGCCCCTCTGCCCCCTCCCCTGCTTGTACTCTCTCTCCCTCTCTCCCTCTCTCTGTAAAATAAAAATAATAATAATAAAGTTAAAAATTTTTTTTTCTTCAGCATTGTTTTAATTTCATATTTCTTGGGGCACCTGGGTGGCTCAGTCGGTTGAGCAACTGACTTCGGCTCAGGTCATGATCTCACGGTTTGTGAGTTCGAGCCCCGCGTTGGGCTCTGTGCTGACAGCTCAGAGCCTGGAGCCTGCTTCTGATTCGTGTCTCCCTCTCTCTCTGCCCCTCCCCCACTCATGGTCTGTCTCTCTCTGTCTCAGAAATAAATAAAGATAAGAAAATTAAAAAAATAAGGGGCGCCTGGGTGGCGCAGTCGGTTAAGCGTCCGACTTCAGCCAGGTCACGATCTTGCGGTCCGTGAGTTCGAGCCCCGCATCAGGCTCTGGGCTGATGGCTCGGAGACTGGAGCCTGTTTCTGATTCTGTGTCTCCCTCTCTCTCTGCCCCTCCCCTGTTCATGCTCTGTCTCTCTCTGTTCCAAAAATAAACATTGAAAAAAAAAATTTAAAAAAAAAAAAAAAAGAAAATTAAAAAAATTTAATTTCATATTTCTTTAATGATTAGTGAGATATTTTTCTTCAAGCATTGTGGTTTCCTATTTACATTTTATTTCATGTGAACTGTCAAATATCCTTTTTAAAAAAATTTTTTTTTACATGTATTTATTTTTGAGAGACAGAGTGAGATAGAGCGCAAGTGGGTGAGGGGCAGAGAGAGAGGGAGACACAGAATCCAAAGCAGGCTCCAGGCTCTGAGCTGTTAGCACAGAGCCCGACAAGGGGCTTGAACCCACAAACTGTGAAATCATGACCTGAGCCAAAGTCAGACACTTAACTGACTGAGCCACCCAGGTGCCTCAAATATCCTTTTTTCAAACTAGGTTTTTTGTTTTTGTTGTTTTGTTTTGTTTTTTAAGTAGGCTCCACACCGAATGTGGGGCTTGAACTCACAACCCCGAGATCAAGAGTTTTATGATCTACTGACTGAGCCAGTCAGGTGCCCCATCTTCTTTTCTTAAGATAGAAGTTTTACTTCACAAACCAGTTGACATACCAACACCAAAAGCACAACTGATTAAAGATTAATGTTAGACTTCACCAAAATTAAAACTTCTATACTTCAAAGTACACCATCAAGAAAGTGAAAAGACTACCCATACAATGGGAAAGAATATGTGAAAATCATATTTATGATCAGGGACTTGTATCCAGAATATATAAAGAACTCTAAAAATAGTGAAAAGATTCAAATTTTTAAACAAAGGATTTGAATAGATATTTTCCCAAAGATGATATACAAATGGACAATAAGCATATGAAAAGATACTTCGTATCATCATTAAGGGAAATACAAATCAACATAATGAAATACTACTTTATACCCAGCTAAATGGCTATAATAAAAACAAATGGACAACAACAAGTATTAGTGAGAATGTGGAGAAATTGGAACCTTCATACATTGCTGGTGGGATTGTAAAATGGTGTAGGCACTTTGGAGAACAGTTTGGCAGTTCCTGAAAATGTTAAGCATAGAGTTGCTGTGGGACCCAGCAGTTCCACTGCTGCATATAAGGGTAATGATAATAAATGTCCACACAGAAACTTGTGCATGCATGTATGTAGTAGCATTGTTCATAAAAGCCAAAAAACTGGAAACTCAAATGTCCATCAATTGATAAACAAAATATAGTCTTTTCGTACAATGGGCTATTGCTTGGCAATAAAAAGGATGCCACAACATGAATGAACCTTGAAAACTTTATGCTGAGTTGAAAGAAACCAGTTACAAAAGACCCTGTGTTGTGTAATTTCACTTATATGAAATAACCAGAATAGACAAATCTGTAGATTCAGAAAGTAGATGAGTGGTTAAATAGGGCTGGGGCAGGGAAAGGGAAATAATGGGTAGTGACTGCTAATGGTTACAGGGTTTCTTTTTGGGGTGATGAAAATGTTCTAAAATTAGATTTGGTGTTGGTTGCACAACTCTGAATATACTAAAAACTATTGTATTCTTTAAATGGATGAACTTTATGGAATGTAAATTACATGTCATTAATGCTGTTGGAATAAAGGGGAAGGAAAAAGGAAAGGAACCAATTTACAGGTTTGCCTCTCTTCCTGTCTATTCATTTCTTGCACAGATTGTTGGTTAGGAGTAAGATGTATGTCATATGGTAATTCCTGTTGTGCTAGAAAATTGCATGCTTCAACTTAATTGATGTTTTATTTTAGTATGATGGCTGATAATTGAAGTCTTGGGTTTTCTAGGTCCATGACCCCTATTAGTGTGATTCTCAGCATGTTTCATTACCTTGTAGATCGTTCCTTTGTTCATAAACTTAGGATAATTCTTATTTTTCCTACCTCAGAAGGTTGTTAAGTTCAAATGAAAGCGAGATAGCACTTTGAAAGCTGTATAGTCCTAAATAAATAGAGAGTAGTATTAAGATTTCTAAAGTTCTCTGTATTTTCTTTCCATAGGAGTAAAACACAAATCTTTTCTAACAGTTGAGGACTGTTTTGAGTTGGGCAAAGTGGCCTACACAGAAGCAGATTATTACCATACAGAACTGTGGATGGAACAAGCACTAAGGCAGCTGGATGAAGGCGAGGTTTCTACCATTGATAAAGTCTCTGTTCTAGATTATTTGAGCTATGCGGTATACCAGCAGGGAGACCTGGATAAGGCACTTTTGCTTACAAAGAAGCTTCTTGAACTAGGTATGTTAAATTGGCCTAATTCAAGATTATACACACACACACACACACACACACACACACACACACACCTATATATGTATATATAAATTATATATAATTATTGTATATAAAAAGTGCCAACCTATATGCCAACATAAATGTATATGTATAATTCTGATATATGACTACATATCTTGTCTTACATGTATATGTATATAATGATAAATATATATAATTCTGATATATGTGTAATTCTGATAAGTGTAATTTGTTATATAGCTTTGGTACATTTTTTTTTTCTTTTTTCAGGTTTTTATTTAAATTCTAGTTAGTCAGCATACAGTGCAGTATTAGTCTCAGGGGTGGAATTTAGTGATTCATCACCTATATACAACACCTGTGTTCAGTACAACCAATGCCTCCTTAATTCCCATCACCTATCTAACCTATAACCCCACCTACCTCCCCTTCATCAGTACTCAGTTTGTTCTCTATAGTTAAGAGTCTGTTTCTTGGTTTGCCTTTCCAACCCCCCCACCTTTCCCCCTCCATGTTCATTTGTTTTGCTTCTTAAATTCCACATATGAGCGAAATCATACGGTATTTGCCTTTCTCTGACATATTTTGCTGAAGATTGTACTCTCTAGTTCCATACATGTCGTTGCAAATGGCAAAATGTCATTCTTTTCTATGGCTGAGTAATATTTATTCCATTTGGTACTTTTTATTTGTTATAAGTCAAGAATCTATCTGTTAGACAAATTTTATCCTCTCCCTGTTTATACACTAAATAAGTGGCAACTGATTTTCCTCAGTTAATGGTACTACAACAGTGGCTGTGCTACTCTGCTGTATACTCTTCAGGAATTTCAAAAGTGGACCTAACCTAGCTAACTCAGTAAAAAATGTTTATTTACCATGTTGCTATATTAAATATTAACCAGTTTCCTTTGAAATGTTTTGTGTTCTTACATTTCATGTTTAAAAATGATCTTGTGATTTAAAATAAATAGACTGAAAATGTAATTTGTCATATTCAAATATTAGATAATGTGATATCCTTTGAGGATTTTATCACTAGTGTTTTGAACTTGTTTCTCTAAGTATGATCCAGGGACCATGTGCATTGGAATTACTTGGATACATATTAGAAATGAAAAATTTCTTGATTTCCACCCCAGAGATACTAAATCAGAATCTGTGGACATTGAATTGTATGCTAATAAATTCAGGTGACCTCTGGTATATAATGAAGCTTTAAAACTTTTCAAAAATTAATTATTTTTATGAATAGGTTAATATGTGTATTTTAGAAAAGTCAAACAGTTTAAAAGAATTGGCCATCTGAAAATGAACTTCTGATAATTAGGTTATTTCTTGGTTGATTGAGTGAGTTAATAAATTGAGATATTAGTTCAAGTACCTTTTTTTCAGTATTTTTTCGTGATTTTTTTCTCCTCACTTAAAGAATATTTTACTCCTTATAGGAAATTTTTAAAAATAAGAAAAGATATGGAAGAGTCATCCATAAGTCTATCACTGAAAGATTTTCACAATCACAAATTTTTTTTGTTTCATGATAGTATATACCCTCTTTCCTGCACATACATACTTATCCCATTCTTTTACAAAATTAAGATTATATTGTATATCACAATATATATTGTGAGCAGTTTCTCAAAGACAAAATCTTACAAATGTAAGGCTAGATTTCCTAAACACTTCATTTAATATCACAAATGAGGTTTCTGTGTATTGTTCTTTTTTATTTTTGTGTGTATGTGTAGTGGTTTGGATTTTTTTTTCCTCTAGGATGGGTGGAGTAGTCTAGTCCTTATTTCCCCTACTAAAAGATAGCTAAAAATGATGACTAGCAATTCAGAGGCAGTTAGTGGATTCTGCTTTATTTGAAAATTATATCTTTAGTTTCTCTTTTTCCATCTCACTTAGAATTTGGGGACTGAAATTCACTCAGAAGTAGGCTGTGTTCTGCATTTATAATGTATCTGTGGTGAATGTTGCTTTTGAACTGTATATACACTGTCTTTCCCATGATGATTACATTCAGTCTCAGAAAAATCTTTTCTATTGCTTAAAATAAGTAGAATGAGTGATATTTTAGAATTCATTTGACATCAAACTGATCATAATTATTTCACTGAGACTTTTCTTTGAGAACTTTTCAGTAAGTTCTCAAAGTAGAATATTTACTACTTTGACATAAATGGCTGATTCCTTCTCCGGAACTCTTTGTATATAGGGTGACAGTAGGTGATTTACTTCAGCCAGTACTGGTTTATACCTGTTGTTTTGGTGTAATGATTTTTATTAGTGCCTCCTTTTACTCTCATAAGTGTCCCGGTTTGAAAGGTAAATTAAATGATCCTGCATTTTTATATTCCTATATTCTGATACTTGAACAACTATAAACTTAGTCATGGACATGTTTCCTTTCTCTCCAATAGATCCTGAACACCAGAGAGCTAATGGTAACTTAAAATATTTTGAATATATAATGGCTAAAGAAAAAGATGCTAATAAATCTGCTTCAGATGACCAATCTGATCGGAAAACCACACTGAAGAAAAAAGGGGTTGCTGTGGATTACCTGCCAGAGAGACAGAAGTACGAAATGCTGTGCCGTGGGGAGGGTATCAAAATGGTAAAGTGGAAAAGCCAATTGTGTGTGTGTATGAATGTGTGTGTGTGTGTGTGTGTTTGTACATAGTTCTAGAGAGAATCAGAGTTCTTTTATATTTAAGCCTATGTGATAAAAATTAGAATTAACTGCTTAAAGTATTACAGTATACCACATCACCTTATTGTGGGTGTCACACTTAATATGCTCCAGCTATTAGTAAAATAGTTTTAGAATAAAGCTTTAGAATAAAGAATCATTATTGCATTTTGTTTATTTTTGGTAATATAACTCTTTGCATAGGCCAAAAGAGGTTTATTTTTATAAGATGAGGGATGAGATAATTTAAGGGATAAGATCATTTAAGCTTTATCTTATATCTTAATGCAAAAGAGATTTCTGCAATCTTAATAGAAATAATATATCATCCTAACCCATTGTATAAAACAAAGAATTCATCTATACAATAATCTTTTGTGGTTTTGCTCCTAGCTGATCATGACAAGATTGCTTAGTGAAACATGTTAGTCTATTTAAGAAATATTTAAAATGCAGAAAGGATTTCAAAAGATTTTTGCTTTAACATTTATTTTTTTTAAATACTCAAATGTGCCTATAAATATCCCTTCCTTTATTGTATATCTATATTTATGTATTTATAACTCAGAATACCAGTGCTTCAGGGTGTTAATAGATAAAAGACCACAAACAAGTTTAAGTTTGGAGAACATAGGTTTTTGTTCAGCCTCAGGACTTTTCAGAGTCCTTTTATGATAATGTACATCACGGATATGCTATACATTGTTTCCCAACATTAATAGATCATGGAACCCTTTTTTTAGGAATATCATGGGGTACTAGTGTTCAGCTGAATGTGGGCATATGTAGAAGGAGTTAGTGAATTTTTGAAGTAAGTACTTTTAAGTTGTAAACATTTGAATAGTGTTGTAAGGTTTTCTCTGCTACTGATAAACTCAAGCTGGACTTTACATTTTGATATTGATGACTTTTTGACATTTGAGGACTTATCGTTGACAGCCTAATCTCTAACAGCAAATGTGTAGATCATATCTATGTTGACACTTTTGATAGCTAAGTTCATGGAGACCTGGAAGAATATGCTTACTTTTGCTTTGGTGCTAAGGAGTAAATATAAGGGTAATAACACTCTGATAGACTCATGAAATATTTTTTTAATTTCATATCTAAATATTTTATTATGTATCTATTGAAGATAAAGATAATAATCAAAAAACCATTATCATACCTAAAAAAATTCATAATATTTCCATAATATCATGAAACATCTAGTGAGTGTTCAAATTTCCAATAGTAAGCAAATATTTTTTATTGCCCTTAATAACTCTTAAAGAACAAATCAAAATAAAGCCATAGGTATAAAATAGAAGTCTGCTTAATTTGCCAGTTTGTTGATATGACACACACACAGTAACTCTGCCCAAAATCAAAGGATCGTCTTTATCCTCAGAATAGTTAAATTCACCTCATGGTTATATCAAAGACTTATATAAATACATATTTAGATTTTTTTTCAACATTTATTTATTTTTGGGACAGAGAGAGACAGAGCATGAACGGGGGAGGGGCAGAGAGAGAGGGAGACACAGAACTGGAAACAGGCTCCAGGCTCTGAGCCATCAGCCCAGAGTCCGACGCGGGGCTCGAACTCACGGACGCGAGATCATGACCTGGCTGAAGTCGGACGCTTAACTGACTGCGCCACCCAGGCGCCCCTAGATTTTTTTTAAGTTTATTTGTTTTGAGAGAGAAACTGCATGCACGAGTGGGGGAGGGGCAGAGAGAGAGAGAGAGAGAAAGAGAGAGAATCCCAAGCAGGCTCCGAGCTGTCAGTGCAGGGCCTGATGTGGGGCTCAAACTCATAAACTGTGAGATCATGACCTGAGCCAAAACCAAGAGTGGGATGCTTAACTGACTGAGCCACTCAGTTGCCCAATAAATCTTTAGATTTGACTCTAGGTAAATAAAGTACATGGAGAATAAACATGAATCATTATTTACTTGTCTTAGTAGGTTAACCTAATATTTAAAACAAAAACTAATATTATTCCTACTTCATATATGATGCACTTATTCAATCAAGAGAAGATTCAGCAATGGAATCACTTATTTAGTTAATATAGATTGAAAGGAACATTTGTCGATCACTCAATTTTTAATATCTATCAATAAAAGCACCTGCCTTCTTTAATAACTTATTTTTTCTTTTTTTTCAGAGTTACTCATTTTCTTTTTTTTTCTTTTTAAAATTTTTTTTTTTCAACGTTTATTTATTTTTGGGACAGAGAGAGACATAGCATGAACGGGGGAGGGGCAGAGAGAGAGGGAGACACAGAATCGGAAACAGGCTCCAGGCTCTGAGCCATCAGCCCAGAGCCCGACGCGGGGCTCGAACTCCCAGACCACGAGATCGTGACCTGGCTGAAGTCGGACGCTTAACCGACTGCGCCACCCAGGCGCCCCCAGAGTTACTCATTTTCATCTTTGCTTTTTAAAACTACCTAACTAAATCTATTTATTTATGCTACAAGCATTTAACTGGGAGGTATTTAGATAAACCTGATGAGGTTTTGTTTTGTTTTGTTTTATTTCTCCTTTTAGAAATTTTTTTTCTGGGTGCTTCCCAGTTAGTTTGTGAAGTTTGGAGCAATGCTGGTCATTCATTTCATATTTTCATAAATATGTCATTATTTCTGTCATATTTAAATATCTCAACTTTATTTTAATGAGACAAGGGTTGGAAGAGAAACCCTACCTTTTTTCTTATATAAGGCCTAACACTTCTCCCAGAAAATAATCATTAATAAACCTTGTAAAGTCCTGAATGTCCCATTTGATGCAAAATACTTGCAGAGTACTGTTTCTTTTGTATAGTCTACCATAAATGCTCTATTTATACACAAACATGATTATTGTTTCTTTTCTGCATAGGAGCAAGCATTAAAAATATTATTACTCTAATATATTTATCATTTTTGTAACTTTATGTTTAGACTCCTCGGAGACAGAAAAAACTCTTTTGCCGTTATCATGATGGAAACCGGAATCCTAAATTCATTCTGGCCCCAGCTAAACAGGAGGATGAGTGGGACAAGCCTCGTATTATTCGCTTCCATGATATTATCTCTGATGCAGAAATTGAAATTGTCAAAGATCTAGCAAAACCAAGGGTAAGTAATTTTTTTATCTTTTCTCCTTCTCAGTTTACTTTACCCATGTATCAGTTTTGCCTCTGCAAGTTACAAATATGATAATTGATATGGCAATAATCCCACAGATAGTTTTAGATATTGTTGTCATAACATAATGGAGTTGTTAACTAAGCTCTATGCCAATTTTTCCTTAGTTATTAACACAAGTAGCAAACCCTGCATCTGGGTTTTAAGCACTTAATTATGAAAATCATAAATGAGATTTTTATTGACACTTAAATTTGTGTTTCAGTATCTTCCTGAAAAAGTTTTGTATGTATTTTCGGAACTTTAGTCTCATAGACTAATCAAAGACCAACTTTCTCCTATCTTCTATATTTTTATCTGAAAGAATACTTGAAGTATTTTTATTTCCCTTCTGGCACATTATTACTAGAAAGATATAATTGGGCACAGTCATCATGCTAATTTGAAATAAGGACATCATAGTTTTCTGAATTTAACTCACATAATTTATCTTAAGAAAAACAATTTAATGTAAATACAGTCCCATAAACTTATTGTTTAGCATAGAAATTCTTCTTTTATGAGAATGGGAGAAACACTACCCTTTATGGTCTTGCCTTTTTCCCCACCAGCTTGTTCTCATTGAACGAGATCTCCATTTTATATCATTGATAGTAAAATACAAACTGCCCTCACTTTTATAAAGAGACTGTTACACAGGAGTTGGCAAATTTTTTCTATAAAGGTGCAGATAATATATTTTAGGCTTTGCTGGCCATACCATCTGTCACAACTACTCAAGTTTGCCACTGTAGTGCGAAAGCAGCCATAGAAAATATATAAATGAGTGTGGCTGTATTTCAATAAAACTTTGTTTCCAAAAGCAGGTGGCAGTCCATAGTTTGCAGATCCTTGTTATATTAAAAGATTTAATTATCTGGATTTCTGTACTGCAAAATAAACCTAAAGTCAGAATTTTTGTTGTTGTCAAATTTTATGATTCCAAATTGGTACTTTTTGTTTTTTTTTATCAAAGATTACATTTTAAATGGGAAAGACTGTTTATATATATATATATATATATATATATATATATATATATATACACACACACATACACACATATGT